GACCCAAGTGCACAGACAGGTCGCGTCGAGTGACTAGGGGACACAGGGTGGAGTGACCGTTCGCCTGTTTGTCGGGGGCCCGGGGTGGGCGTCTTTGCGAGCTCACCGGAGGCGCTCACACCTGCGGGGGTGTGATTGTTTCTGGACGTCGAGTTGTTGCCTAGGCCTCCGCGAGAGTTGTGTGGTCCAGGGACGAGCAACCGCAGACCACGGTGAGGTGGGAGACGGGGACCCTGAAAATACACTTAGGCGATAGGCCCAAAATGGAATTACAAAATGGCTGGGGTTTCTCGTTTGGTTTTTTTTTTAGAGGGGTTTTTTCTGCAGGGCAAGCTCTTGTGGGAGAGACAGAAATAAAGCTGGAAGTCACCGCACCGCAGTCCCTTTCCACGCTCCTCTCGGGATTTTGGGTGCACGCGCACCTGGTGTGCGAGTAAAGCCGCGGATCAGGACTCAAACCGCGGATGGCCATGTTGGAGCTACGTACCATTACACCCTCTGCTGGTCCCCGAAATGAATTTTAAGATGGGGACAAAGCAGCCCGGCTGCTTGCTGGGGAGAGCCGCCTTGTCGGCGATTGACCTAGGCAGCCTGATCTAGAACGTCAAGGTGGTGGTGAGAGACATGGACGTGAGATTGCACCTGAGCCTTATGTGGTCAGGACGTTGATAGCTTTGCACGTGGGGGGAGTCCCGCAGAGCCGAGGCCAGGGTGTGGGGCCACTGTGCAGACGAGGAGAGCAAAGTGCCGCGGGGCGGAGTCCGACACAGGGCCCCCGCGTCTAAGCGATGTCGCAGAGCGGCCAATGGAGTCTCTGGGCCACAGTGTAGCTGTCGAGTTTGTCTTACCTGTGGCTAGCAGACATTGGCACAGCTTCTGGTATGCAGGGAAAGTAGGCTTCTAACTGGCTAAAAACTGCGAGTGGGGCTGTGCCCATTTGCTGTGTAGGATCAGTAGATGGCGTAATGGTTCCAGCCATGGACTCCCACATAGTTGACCGCAGTTTGAGATCCGGACCCAGCAGTTTAAAACTCATGTCAGGCCCGTGTGTCCAAAATCCTGAGATGAGAGTGCAGAAGAGCTTGTGGTGTGGCCATCCCTCTGGGAAGTGGTTTCTCTCTTTCTGGCTCTCTTTGGTGAGGGCACACACCCTATAGTTTAAAAAAAAAAAATCTCTTTAAAGAAAAGAAATATTAGATGGGTGAGCATTTGAGGTTGGTGTGGAACTAAGCAATCCAACAGCAAACGTTGTTAAAATATGGGAACAGCAGGAACCAGCAGGTGGCATAGGGTTACATCACTGGACTACTATGTAGTTGACCACATTTGAGCCCCAGATTTGGCTTAAAACTCATGCTGAGCACATGTGTGTGCATGCCCAAAATCTCAGGAGAAGAGACTGCAGTGTGGCCATCCCCCCTGGGGGGGAAAGGGGCTGATTTCTCACTTTCTGTCCACCTTTCCAGCTAGTGCACTCACCCTATAGCTAAAATCTCTTTTAAAAAAAGTTATGGGGACAGCTAGGGAAATTGATCACTGTGTAGAGGGATGAATGTCCTCTGTTAACATGTAAACACAGTGTCATACTTATGCTGAATGAATATATCTTCAGATATTCAAGAATGAAGCAATATGCTGAGAACTGCTTCAAAATTATCTAAAGGGAAGTGTGGGTGGTGAAGAAGAAAGGTTTTGGAGGCAGATAATATGTGAAGTTTATAGTATTATCTATACTTTTATAAGCTTTAATTTTCCCCAAAAAGGACAGAGAACTAATTGAAGGAAAACTTTGTTTAGTCTGTATAATTACGCAAAGGAGTCTATGCCCTCTAAGGACCGTCTTACATTTTGGTAGATTGTGTTGTGTGCATTTCTAGAGGGAGAGTCTTGCTGTATTGTCTAGGCTGGTTTTAGACTCACAACCTGCCTCACCACACCACATTGTAGGGGTTTTGTCCTCAGTCTCTGCCTAACACGTGTTCCCTCTGGCACACACACACACAAAAGACTTGGGGAGGGAACCAGCAGTTAGCGTAATGGCGATGTCACTGGACTCCCACGTAGTCAACCGCGGTTCACGTCCCGGACCTGGTGGCTTAAAACTCATGCCAGGCACGTGTGCGTATGTGCCCAAGATCCCGAGAGGAGAATGGAGGAGAAGGGACTGCGGTGTGACCATCCCCTCTGGGGGGTGATTTCTTGCTTTCTGTCTCTATGTCTCTCTCTGTCTGTCTGGCGAGCACACACGCCCTATAGCGAAAACTTCTCCCCCCAAAAAAAAGACTTGGGGGAAACATGGTGCCAAAGGATTTTAATGCCCTCAGGTGAGGGACCGCTAGGAGCCGACTATGGAATCCACCTTTATGTCACTTTTGGTAGGTGCTGGTGTAGATGTAAAGATTCCAGGAGATGTATCCCTTCTCTCCAGCATGTGAGAGGTGTGGGCAAGCATGACCCTGCATGGCAGTCCATAACTCCAGACTGGATTCCTACGATTTATGTAAGACACAAGTCCTTCATCTCTTCCAGAGAAGGGTCCTAAGGTGGAGAGGATCAAAGGTCTTGTTACATACTTATATATCAAGGTTCAGGGAAGTTTTCAGTTTCCACTTAGCATATTGAAAGCATATCTGCTTAATTGAGGATCAAAGGTCTTGTTACATACTTATATAGCAAGGTTCAGGGAAGTTTTCAGTTTCCACTTCAAATATACACCGAGTAAAGGTGCTATTTTAAGATAACCCTGTGAGTTTTCACAATTCATTGTTTACATGCCATAGCCTAGATACAGAAGACTCTGTCACCCCAAAAGAACCGCCTATTGCACATTTGTACTCAATCCCCCACCCGTGAGTGTGGGTCTGTTTGAATACACTAAATACACTACACTCTTGTCTGTGTCATATGAAAGAAATGCCGTAGAGCCTTACACGTCTTTCTGAACAATGTGCTGCTGTATTTGTGAAATCGAGTAGCTGTACTTGCTCTCTCGTGTCCTAAATTAAAAATTTCCAGGGCTGGCAGATGGTGTGATTGAGGTGCTGGACTCCCACATGGCCAGCCACAGTTCAAGTCCCAGACTTGGCAGCTCGCCTTTTCACTTTCCCTGTCTCTTTCTTGTCAAATTAAAAATAATAATAATAAATTAAATGAAATAAATAATTCTTTTAAAATAAATGCTTACAGATGGCGTAATGGTTATGCTGCTGGACTCCCATATAGTTGACTGCGGTTCAAGTCATGGACCTGATGGCTTGAAACTCATGCCAGGAATGTGTACGTATGTGG